GAGAGAGAGAGAGAGAGAGAGAGAGAGAGAGAGTCTGTGTGGTGAGTTACCAATGTGTATCTGTAAAGTAACTATTAATATTATATTATGTGTAGTATTCTTCTCGTTAAGAGGTCGCATCCATCACATTTCAGACGCATCTCATTACATGTAGTTTCAAAAAGTGAATAAAAGCTCATGGATACTGATATCATTTTAAACTTCATGTGTGTAGTTTATGATTTATATTTTCATTGTCAGTAAAATCGTTCATAAAAAAAAAAAAAAGAAAGAAAGCTACATCATATATAAACCTACAAGCAGGTGTTGCAGCAAGTGCAGCTCATCACTGGCACCTGTTCCAGTCCCAGCACAAAGTAACAAAGCTACGTTTGTCATGAACTGGTGCGTGAGCGACATCTGCTGTGACATGATTCTGCCCTGAGCGGAATCTGCCGAAGCCAGCCGGCCAGCCGCCTCGCACACTACCTACGACAAGAGGAGCACCGGGTCGTGGGTTCGAATCCCATCAGGGACAAGATGTTGTGTCCTTGGGAGAGACACTACAGTCTGTCCCCGTGGTTTTATGCAGCCTGCATACTTTAGCAAAATTTTATTATTTTTTGCTTAATTTCTAATTGGTTTCCTTTGTGACTTTATCCGTCTTTATAATAATATGCTTCCCGGGAAGCCGATAATGTTTTTGAGAGTTCTAGGGTCTGCTGGGGTAATAATGGTTGTAAAGTGCATTTCATAGATCGTGATGTAGACCGATTTAGCAATTGATCATTTTTTTCATAAGTGCTATATTGTATTATAAATGCAATTATTATGAGATCCAGACAGTTGTCAGTAGTCTGCCTGTCCTAGCCAGGCCAGCGCACCAAGAACGACGGTGTCAACGAGGGTATTCAAATTGATATGAAATTGAAAAAAAAAAAGAAGTCACAGGACGTCACACCGTTCGCATTGGTCCCCACACCTGGTGTGGCCATCTCATATTTCGTATGTGTTAGTAGATTTATTAATTAATATTAATAATATACTTACACACACACACACACACACACACA